CAGGCCCCAAAAAAGCCATGCCTCCAACAGTTGCAGAAGTAATGGGGAGAGCAGCAGCCATGTAGAAGCCCAACCTGATGGGATTCAACTTAACCTCTCACAGCCCACGAGCTGGGCAGCCCTGTCCTAGATTAAGGTAATTAAAAAGAAGTGTTGTGTTTATTTCTGGGGTGTAGGTTGTGTTTATTTCTTTCACTTATCCCCTCAATAATGTATTGAGTTGTATTATTTGCAAGAACCTCTCTTATAAACAATATTTTGGATCCAACATGATCCAGTAAAACTTTGAGTGTGCAAGAAACATTGGGCTACTCCTTTCAGATGTATATTTTCCTAGCTATATTTTTCGCTGAACAGACACATGCAACAGGAAAGCCTCCTGAATATTGATTTTAATTTTTTTCTTAACATTATTTGGCAATATTCGCAATTACAGTTCTTCCAAAATTAAGGCAAAATTTTTCTTTTTAGAGTAGTTTGCAAGGAATTTAACATATAACTGAATAAAAAAATAAGGTCAAACAATTCAAGATTAAAATGCTTGTAAAATTTAAAGCTACATAATGGCTTTAGATTGATATAAAATTCACAAATTGCCATACATTTAATATAATATTTTTACTTATTAAAAATGTGGCTCTCAAAATAAATCTAGAGTCCCCTAGTGCACATAAAAAAAAAAGATGAAAAGCAGCAATTGGGTATCTTTCCTTCCACTGTTAATTACTAATTAAAATCTTAGCATAATTCATATCTATTTAAAATAATTTTGATTTTTTTTTTTTTTTAGGGGTTACACAAGCAAACCCTGCAAAAAAAACCACATTATAATTAGCCAGTTTTATAGCTCTCTTCTTTCATAATACTTGCATAAGGCCATGAGCCTTCACCAATTGTCTTCTTTATTGATGTTCTTCTCAAGGAATCCCTCTTCCATTTAATCTGAGTCATATGGAGTACATGTGCATTGCCTGCTGCTTAATTCCATTGAACATATAATGCTATTTTTTATCATTATGCAGGTATTCAATTAAAATACAAATATCTCAATCAGGTTTCTGTAATATGTAGAAGCTGAAAATCCCCTTTATAGGACTGAATTGGGAGTCCTAAAAGGAGAATTTAATTTTCTGTAGTTTCCAGAAGAAAACAAGGTCATTGTTTAAAACCAAGCAGATGAACTGAAAGTCCCTTTATGGATTTCAAGTGTTCTTCCATTTTTAATTTACTTAATGTCTTCATTATTGGTAACATCTTCAGTCACATTATTCCAGCTCAATGTCTCCTGCATACAAGGTAATCAGTAGTATAGCAGCAAATCCTGTCAGTAAACCAGCATTCTGGATGAGGAAGAAGGTTAAATCTTTTTTCCTTCCTGTTACTTCTTCTCTTAGCATGTCATTCATCTCTGGGAACTAGAAGAAATATATATTTTTAAGTAAGTGTTGCCATCTTGTGGTAAGCATCTATAACTGAGAATTTCAAGTCAGTCATTGTAATAACAACAGATTAGAAATCCTAACAAAAAAATTAGCAAAAGGGAGAAGTCATAGAGATAGGTCACCAAAACTCCTTTATAATTTCTGTCATTCAACAAATGCTCCTTTGCTGTCGTCTGTCTTGTTGAGACGTCACCAAGCTTCAAACCTCTTTCCCCATCTGGTGCCAGGAGTCTGTGGAGGTCTATCTACTAGGCCAGAAATCATTAGAAGCTAATCACTTCTTGACAAATTATAACATTAAATAAAATAAAATGCTTCCAGCATTGATATAATATTTACATATACATAGGCTTTTGAACTGAAGCACCTGATATCAGTGAGATACCACATAGGCTAATAACCTACTGGAAAACCAGGGAAGTAAAAATGATGGCTTTGTGATGGTGGCAGTGATAATTATCCCTTTATCACTAGTAACATGCACTCAAGGGACTACCATGGCATAAAGGGAAGACTGATATATTTTTAAGTAGACATATGTAGTACTAAGAAAGAGTGTGATCCTTCCAAATGATGGGACAAAAGAATGAAGCAGCCTACTATTACTGAATGGTGAGGGGGCTGGAGCACATGACTTATAAGGAGAGGCTGAGGGAACTGGGCTTATTTAGTCTAGAGAAAAAAAGACTGAGGGGATTTAATAGCAGCCTTCAACTACCTGAAGGGCGGGGGAGGTGTCGAAAAAGGATGAAGCTAGACTTTTCTCAATGGTGGCAGATGACGGAACAAGCAGCAACAGTCTCAAGTTGCAGGAAGGGAAGTTTAGGGTAAATATTAGAAAGAATTTTCTCACTAGGAGGGTAGTAAAACACTGGAGCAGGTTACCCAGAGAAGTTGTGGACTCCCCATCCTTGAAGGTTCTTAAGAACCAGCTAGGCAAAGCTTTGGGTGGGATGATCTAGTTGGGAATGGTCCTGCTTTGAGCAGGGTGTTGGACTAGATGGACTCCTGAGGTCCCTTCCCATCCTAATTTTCTATGATTCTAATTCCTCCAGCTTCCTAGCAGAGTCAATGGAAATGCTGTCAGACTGGATAATGCAATCCCCAAAACTTGGGAGACTCTCTGTAGGTACATCTACTCGTTCATTAATCGGCCGTAGTTACGGTACTTTAAGTTTAGTACTTGGATAACCAAGTACTAAATCAATATGCAGTAACTCGTGCTACTGCGCAGTAGCTCTAGTGCACAGGTTTTTCAAATGCTAAACTGCACAGTAGCTTAATACTGCTGCTCAGTAACATACCAGTATGGGTTTGCCTAGCACACTACTGCACAGTGTTATTAGACTACTGAGCACTTAGCGTCTCGTGTAGATGCACCCTGTATGACGATACGGCATTCAAGGGCATAAAGTACTGCTTGTGGTAGCCAATCCAGGCAAAAAACTGCTTGTCCTTTCATAATCTCCAAAGATAAACACTATCTTGACAGGAAATGCAACTCTCAAACAACAGTGAGGCCAGGGGAAGCAGAAGACAGAGCCCTTTCAGTAATCAGCCCATCATTCTTCATGTCTTTTTCACGATAGCTAAGAATAACAGTGAACGAGACCATGCTTAGGCAAGACCCGATTCTCTGATACCGCCTTCAGACACTCACCCTCACCCACTCCTGCATGCCAAGAGACATGCACAGCCTCTCCCACCCACGTGTGAATGTCATTAATGGAAACAGAACAGAGGAGAGACCAGCAGATGAAAGAAATGAAGTTCTAATTAATCCTACCTGCCTCAAGACAGAGAAGAGTAGTGTGAAAATCAGAAGAGAAGCAGAACAACAGATCTCTGTTACACAGCTTTCACAGAAAATACTTTTTTTTTTTTTTTTCCCCAGATACAGGGTTATGGACACAACCTGAAAACCTAGAGAGAATACAGAGTAACAGATGAGGCAGGTATGTTACCTATTTAACGGGCTTAGTAATTATGATTTTATGTTGAGACACTACATATGAGCAAATAATTCCTTGATTTTTGCATGATACTCAGGTTATCTATTATTCATGTTACAAGAATACTTGCCTTTATCATCTCATATGGTAGCATAAGTGGAGGGGTAGGGGAGAAAACCAGGGCAGCAGCCCTGGTTACTACCTTTGTGGAAGGCTGCAAAAACAGCCACTATCACAGTGGCAGCCTGTGCTTTCCTATGAATCTATGGCTGATCCAAGCACAGAGCTGCCCTGCTATACCTCTGATTTCATATAAAAGAGCATTTGAAGTGACAGGAAACTAAAAGCATCAGGAATGAAGTACTTCTTCTTGAGGCTACTAAGCTATTGCAAATAGTTTACTATGCTGTTTTTTCTCTAAAGTGACTTTTAGTGTTACCTGTGCAATCACAGATTGTTGGGTCATAATTAGACTATAGAACTAAACTATTAATCAGAAGTGGAACAAAACTGTGGTGCAGCACCAGTGTCTCTTCAAACTCCAGGAAGAAAGAACAAGTTAGTGAACCTACGCTCACCATTCTGGTTCAAAACTCTGACGGCATTCTATCTGATTAACAACTTATGAGATTTTATAGGCATATATGTTCTTGCAAGATTTCAGTCTGAGATGGTGAAGTTTATGAATCTTAAAAGAGTTCTGCAATTTTGTAATAAAATCTCTACATAGGAACAATAACATGATTTTGCTGCCATTGAATCCAAACTGTATTACTCAAAACCTACTCTCAGTTGCCAGTCTAAACCTGATCTGCAACTGAATGCTGCCTCCTTCACCCATCTATCCTATTAAGACTTTATTTTTAAAAACATAGATAAGCCATGGGTCCTGTTAAAATCAGAGGTGGATTTTTCAGCTCAGAGGCTGAACAGAAAAAAAAAAAAAAAATAGGAAAAATTGTTAAAATATAAAACAGCTATTTTGTGTTTCCTGATGTTTAAAAACAAATTTGGTTTGGGTCAATCCAAAATATTCATAATAGCCAAAAAGAAATGTTTTATTTTGAGGTTATTAACTTTAACTGTTTTTAACTCATCAGTTTTCCAAAAAAAATTCTGTTTTGAAACAAAAAGTAAAAAAAAAAAAATTGTAAAAATGTTTAAATGAAATTTCTGATGTTCTCAAAAAGTTTCTCCCTCTTTTTTTTCAAATCTGAAAATACATAACTCAATTCATAAATAGTTTTGTTTCCTCCAAATCTCTCGTTTTCATGACATATACTACTTGACAAAAATACTCCGCCTCAATCTGGTTACAAGGGCAAAAGTTAGCTCATAACACATACTGAGTCAACAATTATGATACCAAATTCATTCATTCATCCTGGAATTTTACTAAATATTCCGTCACTGCTATTATTGTTATTTTAGCTGAATGTATAGCACCAAGTGAAAAACAACCTAGGAATAACCAAGGTTAAATTGTCCCTAGGAGAGTTTCTCCTGGCAAAGTGAATGTCTGTACAATTTACTCTTCTGACAAAAACCACAGTCCTCCAGCATTGCAGAGTGCTTTGCTCCTCCCCACTCCCAAAGAGACAATGTTTTGCCCAAGCTGGTCTCTGCTACTCCAGCTAAGCAGGGAGCAGAATATGCCTCCCTCTCAGTCCCACTTTGTGCTACAGGGAGACAAGATGATGCTGATCAGTTTGGGTCAGCCAATCAGGGCTGCCATCTACACTACTACCACCTATTACCAGGCAGACTAAAGGAGTCTGCAGAGCAAGCTGAGATGTATGCAGAGGGGCCTCCTGGCTGTAAAGCAAAAGCACTGCAAACTCTCTACTCCTCAGGGGCTCAGTATTTGAATGTCTGTTCAGGCATCTCCAGATAAATTCTTCTTTCAGGAGAACAAACCCAGGAGACTTCTCCCAAGTCATTTAAACATGTGTATACAGCCATAGCTCACAGAGAGAGAATTCCAAATTCTAGTGGATGGACCATTAATATGTTCTACTGTGAAAAGTCTTACATTCCTATGCAAAAATAAATTAATTAAAATGAACTGTATCTCACCATATCTGCCAGAGAAATGTACAGGAACATGCCACCAGCTAATGCAAAGATGATGTGAGGAGCAAAATTGTTGCCCACTAATATGCCAAAAGCCAGCCCAATGTAGCAGGAGCAGGCTGAAAGGAAGTTGAAAAACAAAGCCTGGCGAGTGCTCATTCCAGAATTAAGCAAAATGACAAAATCTCCTAAAAAAACAAAAAAAACAAAAAAACAAAAAGGAAAACATATTTAGAAAATGATGTTACATGACTATTCTGGATCTGTAAGAACTACAGTAAGATCACACAAATGTTACAACCCAGTGCTAACTTTTTTATATTTATTTAAATACTGGAATAATTTTTTCAGTCAAAGGTAACTAGCAGTGTTAATCTGAAGTCAGACAGAAGGCAGGGTAGAGTTACACTTTATAGACAAGCTAACTCAGAGATGCATAAAACTTTTGTAAGCAACAGCTCACTTCACGGCAGGGGCAGACAATTATTTTGGGCGGAGGGCCACTTACTGAGTTTTGGCAAGCCATTGAAGGCCGCATGACAGGCAGCCAGGGGCAGATAAACATTCATTTTCTAAAGTTTTTAGGGTCCCTGCAGGCCGGATAGAATGGCCTAGTGGGCCGCATCCAGCCCATGGGCCACATTTTGCCCACCCCTGCTTCAGAGTCTATGAAAGGACTAATGTGACTGGAACATTCCAATACAATTATCTGACAAACAACTTAATTAATGCACATGCCTCACCAAGTTCATGAGGGAACTCTTCACATAAGATTGCTATGGATGTACTAAGTCCCTGAAGAAGAGACAAGGTAAAGGAGGCACCAATAGCCAGACCATCAATGAAGTTGTGTAAAGCATCACTCAGTGTGATCATCCAGGCAATTGTTCCAATCTCTGATAGTGCGGGTCCCTTAAAACATTTACATGAGCAACTTTGGGTTTTTTCTTCCTAGAGAAACAGCATGAAAATGACATGAAGCACTAAACTGCTGCAAATAAGTCAGTTAATTTCATTTCCATTGTTAAACAAATCTGATTTCCTAAAAAGGTAATGTAATGCTCATCTTAGAAACCCATATTTTCTGTCCAAGGAATAGACACTGGCCAAGCAGCAGCAGCAGCACATGCTTTTCCATATCACTGAGTTTATATGCTTTGACCCAAATCACCTCCCCAGCTATGAAATGGCAGGTCACTGCCCTTCTGCTGAGATAGCTTTCTAGGATGAAAATTTTGATGGCAGCTTTTACCATTCACACACCAGTCCACCAGAAGCTCCAATGACAGCACAATTTTTTCACATAGAGACTGATGGCTCTTCAGTGTACCAGCTACCCAAACTGGATTTGAATCATAAAACTGGAAATAAAAGGGGCTTGATCATGTAAGAGCCCCAATACTCCTATACAGGCACACAAATACCATGGTGTTGGGAACTTAGTATAAGAGCCTAGACTTCCATTCAGCAACATCATATATCTTCTTTTTCCTGTAATTTTGCATTTTTGAATACTGCCACTCATATGCTTAGGGTTCAATCAGTAATTTTCCTACATGCTGATAAAATTTTCAAAGTTAAAAAATAGCTTACTAACAGTTACAGAAAGAATGAACATTAGGACTCTCAATTTTATGCTCCAGAAGTCAAGTATGTTAAAAACCAGACACCACTTAATAATAAACAGTTCTGGCAGACAAAGAAGCAAATTACCTTAAGTTTAATGGGATATAAATAAATCCTTTTTTGAGAAAATTCTTATAGTCCAATCTGATAGTCTTCTCAATGTTTCCAGTTAATATTTATAAAGTAGTAGCATTCCAGGTGTAAGTACAATAATATTTTTACATAAAACAAGGAATGCTCTTGCAAATGAACTATTAGCTATTGCTTGTAGTTGAAATGGGTAAATATACATATTAAACAAATAGCTTTCTTTTTCTTTTAATATGCCTTAAAAAACCAACATACAGCATATTCCCATATTTTTGTCTACAAAAACAGACAAAATTGTAGAAAGTAAATTCTTCTTAATTACAAAAGAAAGAATTTTTAATATGGTTTAATATTGATACATGAAAGATAAGAATAACTGGGAAATTACAATATATAAGATTAGTAAACGAGAGTCTAAAATTAATAACTACATTATCTTAAGTAGCAATAGACCTGTATTTTATCCCAATCACCATATTCTTAGCTGAAATAATACAATCTATTATACAAGGGTTATCCTGGGAAAGGACAAAAGTTCAAGTCAGGGATTTCTGAGCCAAATACTCATTGCCCTACTGAAAACAGAAGCTGATAAAGCTTTGGCTATTTACAACAGATACCGTAAAGCTGGTGTTGTCAACTGGGGGTATGCATACCCCTGGGGGTACGCAGGGGCGGGCAGGGACAGAGCACAGCCACCCCGCACCACTGCCTCACAGGGGCAGGACTGGGGCGGGGCAAGAGCAGGGCCATACAGACACTATGCTGCTTCTGCTCACCACACTCCCACTGCGCGTCTGGCCGCTCTCCACCACCCCCCACCCGTGCTCCACGTCCAACCACTCGCTACCCCGCAGGGGTTACACTTACTAAAAAAGGGGGCAACTGGGGATACACTTATTAAAAAGGTTCAAAACCCCTGCCATAAAGTAATTATGGCCTCTACCAGCACATACCAAAAGCAAGAGTAATAGTTTTATGAGATGAAAGAAGTAGCAAAAAAAGATAGGCAACTTCCATGCTGATCCCAATATGTCAGTTGTACCCATTTTTTCCATATCTTTCTGTTCTTATAGGCCCTGACCCTGCAAAAAAAAAAATTCTCTCTTTGCAAGCTTTTGGGCCCCAAGCACCCTTCCTCAGGCAAAGGAGAATTCAAAGTTTGTAAAAGTTTTCCCAGGTAGAAATGAAACTTCATCTTGCACAGGGGAATTAAAAGATGGTAGGTTTCCTCTGGGTACAACAGTCCATTTTAACAAAAATTGTTCTGTGAGTTCTGGGAGAACTTTTACAAACTTTGAATTCTCCTGTGCCTGAGGAAGGGCGTTTCAGTTTGAAAGCTTACAAAGAAAGAAAAAATGTTGCTACTATTTAGTTGGTCTAATAAAAGATGTCACCTCTACCCCAAGTGTTTTATCTCCTTTGCTTTTAGACCAACATGGCTAAAACCAATATCCCTGACCCTACAAATCACTTAAGCATGTGTTTGACTTCAGTGGATTGTCACATGCTTAAGCCAGTGACTCTCAACTTTTTTTTTTTTTTAGATACAAGGCATCTCTTATTAGACTCAAAGCATACCTCACAAAATGTCTTGAAAAAGCTCCTAGCTTTCATTCATTTTTTACTCTGGACAAATAGAGCAATTCTTCAGTTTTAAAGAATTCGAAAAAAGCACTTCTGTTTGACAGATTTCCTATTTTGATAGATTTCCTATTTGAAATCACTGGGTTTATCTTGTGAATCATACTTGCACACCTAACAGTGCTAATATTACATGGCACCCACAGCACCCAGGAAAGCACTTCAAGGCACCCCAAGGTGCTTTGGTGTTCCAATCTACTTAAATTTTATTATGTTTAAAAATTATTTAACTGAGTTTAATGCTCTCAAATCAAGCATGGACTATCTGCTATCTTGCAACAAAATTACTGCCTAAATGTATACCATTATAATCAGCATAAATAAAACAGGTAGATAATCTTTACCACCTAAAGTGTAAAGCATGTGGCCTTGCCTTCCAGCCCAACTTCAGATGAAATAACTTCAGATGAAATAACCTGAAATGTTATTAATCAAATAACCAATAACTTCAAGGCTTTGGTGGCTGATTGGAATTCCATTGAACATATGCTGCTCAATCACAGGTGATCCTCTCTAGTAATGCCAAAAAACGCATGAGTAATATCAGCTTCACCTTCTGTGGGGAATTATCATTAAAGGAAAGCCAGCAGGATAAAACTAGCAGAGAATTAGTGGGAAAAGGAAACCTCGTAATTATAGATCTTCAGAAGTTAGACTTCAAATTTCAAATAACCCAAACACCCTGTTATTTAATAGGGCTAGAGTCCACAAGCTCTTTCACCTGTGCCTCAGTTTTTTTGTTAGATTTTTTACTTCCATATTTTATCTTTTTCCTGGTATGCTTTCTTCAAATTGTCCAAAAATTCACTGAGGATTTACTTTGTAGATTGTGCTGACTTCTGTCAAAAGTATGTCTCATTGACACATTTCTAGCTCTGCTGAGAATATAGTGCTTGCAGCTACACAGAGATTTTCTTTTTGAATAATGTATTACCTGGGAAACCAGTGGATCAAGAATTTTGTAGCCTCTGGGGTCACTTACAAAGCCACATGACATTATATTAGGTAAGTGCCTTGTTCTTGCTGATAAAAAAAAAAAAATGGCAACTATTCACTGAAAGACAGCAACACTAATCTCAGGCAATCATATTTTAAAAAGACACATTACCAACCCTTGTTCTCCTATCTTTATTTTACAAATATTATTATAGTTTTTATTGAGGCCTGCTGATCTCTTCTTGTCTCAGAACACAATCACCCAAGAAATAGTGAAGAATTCACTGAAAGGATGGGTTCTGTGTACTCTGGAAAGACTTTGCTGTGGAAATTATTGGGCTCATAGTTTGTTAAATTACATTGTAATCACTCCCCATAAAATATGTGAATGCAAAAACATTTGTACATACCAATTTTGCATTCAAGCTTTAAATGGCCTATTCTTCATGCTAGCATGGGGTGTGTTGAATAGTTGTAGGTACAAAGTTTCCAGGGCACAGTAGGTGTGAATGATTGAAAATGTATTATTAATTTGGAAATAAAAATATATCCTCTATCAAGAGTGACAAAATTAAAAAACCCATTTTTTGTTCTCACTTACCTCAGTGGAAACTCCCAGTGAAATCAGTGGCACTGCAGAGGCATGACTAAGGGAAATGTCAGATCCACATGCTTTGCCAAAATTGAAATATCTCATCTATGAATAAGGCACATATAGTATCTTTTACATGTGCTGGAAGAGATTTAATAATTTGGTACCAAGATGCCATTTGAAGGCTGGAAAGATTGTCAGACTGTTTAAGAATGGGACTGACACTTACTTCAGTGAGCTGGAGGGTGTTTTGTGCTTTGTGGAGTTTTGTATGACTTGATTTTTCCTTCTTTTTACGTAATTTTCATTGTGTAGAGTTCAAGGAACTAGTATAGATTTCCATATGATTTTTTCTCTCTTGATACATTAAAGAGAATACCTGCTTCATTGGGGTCTGGAAGAAATTTTACTCCATGGTCAGATTGGTATGGACAGCATGGGCATGTCCCCCAAATGCACACGTGCAGCTTTGGCTGTGGAAACACATTTGCGACCCTGCAAACCACACATAATCCATGTGCATGCATTTGCTGCACTGCTAATTTGCAGCGCAGCAAGCTCCCAGTGTTAAAAAAAAAAAAAAACACCTGCCACAAAAAAAGCAGTATAGAGCACAAGGCAGCTGCCAGAAACCAGAGCCATACTCTGGCTGCCAGCCAGGCTCCAAGCAGCCAGGTTGCCGCTGCTGCTACCCTGGGAGGCCCACAGAACTCCAGGTAAGACTGCTGGAGACAGCCCAGGTGCTGGCCCCAGCCTCCCCTACCTCACCCACGGCAACTTGCCACGTGCCAGAGCACACATGCAGGGATGTGCCTGGGGACACATAGCAGCAAGACAAATATGTGACACTGCTATTTGTCCCCAAGAAAGTGCACGTTCCTGCTCATGGGGACATGCTGTGTGGGTTTTTGCCTTCCTTTGTAGTGCAGGATGTCACCCTCTTCCTTGGATCGCTCAAGCATATTTTAACAAACACTGCAACAGCAGGACATTGGCCACCATTATCACCACCCTGCTTTATTGTGGCAGGTTAGGGCACTATGCATTTTGGTTGTGTGGAAGAGTTACCTGTGCATTTTTAGTAATAGGTTAGACAAGGATTTGCTTGGGATAGAGTTTGAATAGGGATGATCCTGCCTCAGGCAGAGGATTGAATCAGATGGCATCTACAGGTCCCTTCCAGCCCTACTTTTCTTTGATTCTATGATTCTTTAAAAAGGTAGAAACAACTGGAGGTTCAAATTTGAGTGTGGGTTCTCAGAGAACCACAGTGTTCCAGGCAAGGGGAAACATGATGAGTTCCTCATAAACTAGTTGTCTGGTCGTTATATTGTGACCTCTAAAATATACTAATGCTTGCCCTGGCTGTTCCAGTCCTTTCTTTATCATACTTAAATGATAACGTGTTGGCTTTTTACACATGTATAGAGTACCAGGATATTACTCTTCCAATAGTATCTTATGAACAAAAGATTATTTAATTGCATGCCCTACCAAGGTTAGGAAATAAATTCCAATACAGGTGGATATTCTCAACAGCCAGTATAAAGGGACACTGAAGATATTCCCTTACAAATGTATGGGCTACATGAGAAAATTGTCATATCCATCCCTGCTAAACTGCCCTAGCATGCACTCTCCTGTGATAGCATACGTGCCAAGCAATCCCACTGGACTTACATAGCTGGCTTACAAAATGTCAGGTATTATAAAGGGAAAGTTCTACACTATTACACCTCTACATTTTATTTTATAGACAAAGGCTTATAAAATAGTCTTCCTATTTCACCATCATTTTGTATACAGTTCAGCTCCCTTAAGCCTCCCTCTTACCCTCAACTTCAACAAGGCAATGGACACAGGGTCCTAAGTCTATTTGGGGAGTAGTACCTCCTTCACTACACTTCTTCCTTCACACAGATAAAAACTGAACACTAGATCTAAAACTGAAAGAAAAGTCACAGCATTTCTTTGCTGTGCTTTGGAAGCACCCCAGGAGCTAGAAGGAATGAGACAACACACACACATGGGTGCTGATAAAGACCGTTGTAACATTTTATAGACAACTCTAGCCTTTGTTTGTTTTGTAACACAGACCTTGGGAGTATTTTGTCTCTGGAGCAACATTTCCACAACACCATTATTTTTTAAACATATAATTTTACTGCATTGTAAAAAGGAATTTGAGGCACACAAGAGGTTTCCATGGTTGAAGTTACTGTCGCAAGTGAAAGTTAAAAGTATGTGGCTAATTAAATATTTATAGTGATCCTGACAGACAGTCTGTTCAAACATTAAAAGAAGGATACCTACTGTCCTGGTGGATGAAAGCAACCAGTGCATTTTAGCACAGGCAGCCTACTATCACTTCCTTTAAAAGCCTATGTGATGAGCTCTCCTCACTGTACACAGTTTATCCACTCTAACAAGCTTTACATTGCTATGATACATTAAAATTTTAGTACATGCATGTCAGCCTATGGCAAACGGATCCCTCATAAATACCAACCATAATGCATAAACCACCTTTGAAACAGTGAACTTAGAGCCTCCGAGACAGCCAAAAGTCTTTTTGTATGTATACATCAAGGTGAAATGTCAGCTCTAGGGGACAGATTTGCTGGCACCAATACAAAAAAGTGTAAATTATAACTCCACAGATGCCAGCCTGTGGAGCCATCCATTTGGAAGAAAAGCAGTGCCACTGTCACCACTTGGGACAGAAAAGCATACTACAAATATCATAAGCCTGTTATGTAAGTTCATGGTCTCCCCTTGCCCAAGGTTGTGGTGCCATTGTAGGCTCTGTAACTAGCATCTTCATTTTACAGCTATAGGTTCCAGATATTTCTCTGGGCTGTGTGTTTAATTCTGCAGTTTCTCAGCCCAGTTCACATGCATTCCCACTGTCAATGTGAGGCCAGATGGGAATAGTAACAGAAACCTTGTAGAACAAAGGCAAAGGCAATCCCAATGTACAATGTTAATTATTTAGCTAATAATGTTAAACCTGCTATGCTTTAAATCCAGTATACTGAAGAAACCTACTGAACATTACTCTTTGGGGCCAGCTCTGAGGTAAGGGTGAATGCAGGCCTCAAAAGTAATCTTCAACAAGGATTTTCAGCATGTAGGTTTATGTTGTGCCAGACTTAGCATTTTTAAGAGTTTGAAAGAATTTTCTTAATCACTAAAATTGTGTGCACCAGATCCTCATCTCCCAGAGCTCCAAACCTGGGAAATGAGTGTTTCATTATGCATAAATAGCTCTTTCAGCCATTTCCTACATCTCCCTCCTGTCCCACTTCCATCCTTCTGTTGTGCTGCTCAATACAGTTCAGTGAGGAACAGGGGAGACAGTCACTATGCAGCAGCTACATGAAAGTCCATGCAGTGACTGGATGACAAAAACTAGAGAAAAAAGGCCATTTCAATACTACCATTTTCTTTAAGAACGGATACCCAACATTAGCAATGGCTTGCTTCTCAGCATGACCTCCTGGTAGTGTTAAGAGAAGAGAAAGAAAAGGGAAGCTCAGAAGTACAGTACTCTTCTCCTTCTGATTTCATCTACTTCCTAAATTGGCCAGGGACCATATTTGGAAGATGGGCCAAGTAGCAGAAAGAAACAGAATATGCATGGGAGAGAGCATGATATAAGAGAGCTCTAATACATACAGCAGAAAACTTAAACTGAGGGTTAAGCTTGCACCTTATCCCCATGCCCTATTGTACCCAACCCTCCTGGACTAGCACAATAGGCCAGAATAATGTCATGTGCAATGGAGACTGAAGATGTATAAATGAAGATGAACAAAAGTGTCAGTTTCAAACTGTAGAGCCCATACATACACTGAGATTAATGGGGCCAGGACATATCTCTGAGACCTCTGGTTGGAGGTTGACTGACTGAAGAAGCAGAAATTCATCATGATCATTTCACATCTGCAGTGCTGTATCACTTAGAGACCTTTTAAAAAGAAAACCAAATAAACTGGCAAAATATTGATTCATGCTCTTCTTCTGATAACTTCGCTACATGCTGGTTTATTTGGCAGCTAACAAAAAATAATCATCACATTTGCTAGCTTGCCAAAACTGCAGCTTGTTCATACTGCACAAGTGAGTTATAAGCTAAAAGTTAACAAAAGAAAACATTCATAGAAGCCTACATTAACTCTCCTTACTGGATAAGTCCATATAAGCAGTTGTGATACAATAAATTAAATAACAAATTAAAATGGCTATACCTGACCAGGATCCACACTGATAGTGTCATAGGAAAGAGTTCCATTAGGCTCTACTACAGCTGAATTTGCATAGCATGTGACTCCGTTGCTGGATTTCACCAGTTTTGGTGGATTACCATTATCCTGCGGAATATTCTTTTCATTAATTTCGAAGTGATTGTGGTCACCCTTGTGAAAAAAAACCCAAACAATAATAAGAACAACAGCTTGTGCATTTATATTGACATACATGTTTGTGTTTATTATATTAGACAAACCTTCCCAAACCTAACATTTATTTTCCAAGTAGCATTTGATAGTTATTAATGGAAAGCTGCCTGGTCAAATAGTGCTGTTTTTACTTCGTTCCTTCTGGCTGTTAAATTCCCCCCAACTAAAAATGTATTAAGCACTTTCCAGTATTTCTTTTCCCTGTAACCAATCAATGCAGTTCCCACAGGAATTTTATGCATTATGGCCCACGCGGTCTCCAATGACAGGGGCTGATTGAACTGGGGGCATCTTGAGAAGATGCGTAAGACAGTCCCCCTAATGTGATCTGGGTAAGCTCAGGAACATCCCTGCTTGAACATGCTGCCACTGCAATGTATACAGACCAACAGCTTACTGGCATACATCAGAACTATTCTATGCAGCAGCCCCATTACTTACCTGGCCATAGATCTTCAATACCATCTTAAGAATCCTTTCCACAAAGAAGAGAATATAGAATCCACCAAACACAGCTACTGCTTTCTCAACATAGTTATCTATTTTGGGATCAAATCCAAATGCCTAAGAAAGAATGTAATGGCAACTCAAAGTTAGTCAACAGACTTAGTTCATTTTAGGAGTAAAATACAACACGACCACCCATTAGCTTCAGTGGGTCCTAAATTATTACAAACATATAAGTAGGCCTAATTTTTATTCTGCTGTAATCTGCTAGAATGTAACATGTGGAGTGCAAATGTCATTTTCAAAACAAGTATGCCCTTTCCTTTTAAACATCTAAATAGCAGCTTTTTAGCCTTGTATGTGGTGTTTTTGGCACTTATGCACAAGTTACACTTCTTTTACCCCTGCAGTCTTGGAGACATAAATGTGTGCACATAGAGCATACAGGCAGGCAAGGTTCTTTTGAGTAGATACAATATCTTTTACTAGACCAACTAAGTACTTGGGGAAAAGTTCTTAACAAGCTTTCGGGTGCAGTCACCCTTCTTCAGGCATAGGGAGTCGGGGAAAAAAAAGGCCAAAGGGAAATATTACAGAAGTAATACCGGGTAAGAAAGAGGCCTTTTTTCCACCTGCTTTACCTTTTGTTTCTCCTTTCTACCTATTTATATTTTCACTATATCCTCTCACACTTTGAGCTTCTCTCATTCGTATTCCTGATCTCCAACTATTCTTTTTCACTGACAGCCTCTTTTCCACCTTGTATTCTATCACTGTAATGTCTCCCTTTAGCCTTTTTTCCCCGGCTCTCTTTCTCTTCCCCCTCCCCTCTCTTGCTTTACCTCTCTGCTTTACCATTTGTTTGCCTAATTTCTATCTATTTACATTCTCACTGACATCTTGCCACACTTTTAGCTTTTCTCATTTCTTGGAGTCTCAGAACAGCAGAGACTCCCTCTGCCTGAAGAAGGGTAACAGCGCCTGAAAGCTAGCTAAAAACTTTTTTCCAACTACTCAGTTGGTCTAATAAAAACTAATCACATTTACTCAAAGAACCTTGCCTGCCTATGTCCTCAGACCAACACAGCTACAACCAAAAACCCAGCATAGAGCATATATGAGCAGTAGGTTAGGCCCTGGCTGGGTGGCTACATGTCTATGTATGCATGCCCATTCTAGAGACACCTTGCACCTAAGTTAAGAACATGCAGTAAGCCAAAAATAACTTGACTAGTCAATAGTAGACTCTAGAGGAGGAGGAGGACCCTCACCCAGAACCTGGAGAGCCAGATTCTAGGTTTCCCTTTCCCAGAAGGGATCTGAACCTACATCTCACTCTTCCCAGCACAGTGTTCTGATTACCACACACCAGGCTAGACATAATCCAGGCCTCTCTCTGGTGCTCCTTTTGAACCTGACCACCTGGGCAACCAAGAGTGGGAAATATGAGGGCCTGAGAGGAAGAGAGCAAGTGGGAAAATATGTGGCTCAGAGAGAACAGAGAAGGAAATAAGCTTGGGGTGCTAGCTTCAGCCCCTGCCTCCCACCTGCACAGAAACTCCCCCTCTGTGCTGCTCTTTATCCAATGACTATTACATGCAAGGGGCAGTGGATTAGCTTCAAAACTGGCTAACTTCAATACTATTAAAATTATATTCCATTCAGTTACACCAGGCTGGATTTACTCTAAAGCATTTCTTTCTTTCTCTGGGAGGAAAAGCATATTATAGTACAGTGGCCCTCAACCTATCCCATGTTACAAGAAAGGAAAATGTGGGTACACCCTACCCATCTCACCATACAAATGATGTTCTATTTATTTTATTTATTAGCGAATGCAAATCTGCAAAGCCAAAAAATAACCTCCTCGTTAGCTGAGTTCGAAGTTTTTAGTTTGTAGAGAGGATACACCTTGGTGATGCATGGCGTTGTTTGCATCTCTCCACAAGTGCACAATGGGAGGTGAAGGTTGGCTGCGCAGGGGCCCTGGCCTGTCCTGAACCTGTTTAGCAGGGACCACTGTCACCACTGATAAGCGGGGTTTGTCACAAGGAACTTGTTTGTAACTTCCCATGATTTCAGGACCCCCTGAAATCTGATCACAACTTTCTAGCAGATCAGAGCCCACACTTCACAAATCACTATACTTTGGAAACATGCAAGTGCCATAAACAATGAGACTCCTTCCTTACCTCTGGGATGAGCTGGAAAATTGCATTAGAAAAGAGAGTCCCAATGGCCAAGCCCACAAAATATGTTAAAATCTTGGGGAAATACGGTTTCTTTAAGAGAGGAGTTAAGACCAATCCCAGAAGTGATGCAAGACTAATGATAGTCACAGCCAGGAATCCAAAACCCCAAACTGTGGATGAGAAAACAACAGATATACCAAATATTTTAGTATACTATCCATTTCAGTTTTGTTTCTAACAGCTAAATTGACAGCAAGCAAAATAGTTTACAAATCTTTTTCCACCAGTTAAAATCAGAATGTACAAATATAGGATATAATTGTAAGTTTAAGGATATGACAGCAATGAAACTGAAATATTACGAATGATTAGTTCCTATCTGGGACTGGCCAGCTCATGGAGGTAGTCTGAGGTCTGGGCTTTACTCAGACAAATTCTTAGCTCCTTTAAATTAGTTAGAGGCAATGAAAAATCAGGACCAATGCCTAAAAAGACAGAACAACAACCAGGACAGTCATGGCATTAGTTTGAGGTATACCAGGGGTAGACAAAATATGGCCCATGGTCCAGACCTGGCCCACAGGTGGGCACTGCCAACTGATTGCAGTCAGCCCATGGGTGCCCCCCTCGGTGTTCTGCACAGAGCCAGCTACACCCACTCCCAGCCAGAACAGCCTGCGCTGCACTCCTGCCTGCACCCACCTATGGCTGCATGCTGGCCAGTGCACAGAGCTTCCCCACAGGGCTGCTCCCAGTGCAGCTGCAGCCAGCCACCTGGGTACTGCTTAGCTCCCCCCACCTCCAGTGGCTCCTCCCCCTGCCCCTGCTGCACCACTCTGGACAGTAGGTAGCGTGGGGGAGATTTCATAATTGTTGTGGCTGAATTCCTTGCCTCCCCTCACATCATTACCCTTTTTACAGGAAAAATTTCTATGAAACATTAAGTAGGGACTTGCAGTTTCCAGTTCCATTCTTCTTTTGCTGTTTCAAGTATTCCTGTTTGGAGTATAGATAAAGGTTTTCTGAAAGAGTTGCTACCTATCTAGCCTTGAAAAACAGATAGCTTTTGAACAGATGTATCATTTTCCATTATAAAAAGAGAATGATCCAGGACCATAGGAGACAGTGGAATGATCCATTTTTTCATTTGTAATTTTTTTTTTTTATCAGTAATAATCTATTTTTTCACTAGTGCTCTTTCCTGTAAGATTACAATGTTATGAGGAAATTAATAACAAAAATGTGCTGGTTCTCAGCTGGTATAATCAGTACTTCTTTTTTTAAGTCAATGAAACTCTGCTAAATTCTACCAATTGGGGAATCTAGCCCAGAAAGTTTTAATTATTCTTTAATTACATAAAATCTTGGGTTAAGACCTCATGTAACTTCACAACTTTTAGTGAGTAGCACTTCTGCATGGATGTTGCATGATAGGACATGATATAAACTCTAAAATTCTGACTTCATTTTAAGAACTGTGAGCCTATAATCCCATGCACCAGAAGGATAAATTCACATACAAAACACAATGGAGCTGACCTTCTAAAAGAGTGGGAAAAAACTGTTTATCACTAGGGAATTCATAAAGCAGCCTGTTCTGTTCTGTTCTCTAGCTATGCAAGTCCCTTAGTGTTGCTAGGAATCAGCTGTACCAAGCACCAAGAGATAGAAAGAACCACATGTAGCAAATACCTCCAGGTTCTTACTCTTCAGCTTGATGCCAGCCTGCATGGAGCCTCTTCATGTTGTGTTTGTGTGTAGAAGCTTCTCTGACTTCAGAGACAAGGGAAGCAATTTGTTCTAGAAAATATCCTTTCCTATAAAAAATCTTCCTAGAGGGTCAATTCCAAGAGAAAGTCTGTTCCTCAGACCCTATCAGTGAAAGCACCTGAAAGCCAATAAATACTCTCTGAACAGAATGGAACAAGGAACTTAAAAATTAGTAAGTGAAAAGTGAGACAAATATCAGACTAATGGTATCACTGACTAACAGTGGGACAATGACTAATAGCAGTTGGGGAAGGGGGGAAGGGGGAAAGATGCAAACAGATCAAAGGGAAGCACTAGATCAATGAAAGATATACACACACAGCTTGAAGGAATTGAGCAGACGCTGCTCCCCTTGCCTTCCCTGGTATTTACTCGACGACTCCTCCTCTTTCTAGCAGGAAAGCAGCATTTTTCCTGCTAGAAATGTAATGTCTGTCCATACCCAGTGTCTCATAACTTCTTTAAGGTATCTTAAAGGAGAGGTAAGAGACAGGTTTGTGACGCTGGTTTGAGGAAGGTGTAGGTAGTAGGCGAGCACAGGTCCGTCATGAAAATTTCTAACACTGCAAATTTCCCAAAAATTTGCAGTACTAGAAATGAATGCCAGTCCATATGCATTGTCAAAGCTGCTTTTCAAAAAAACTGCTCGTCCTTCCATACAGTATCAACAAATGATAGTCAAAGTCAACATAATGTTGGAATATATGAGAACATAGGAATAAACCAGAAAACACTGTCAACAAGACTGATGCATTGTGAGCCTTAAACTGTGTAAAATAAAAGTTGTTTGAAGTTTCCTAATTACCCTGCAAAAAGGGCTGTGCGTGATTCAGGGAACAGGTTTGCTTTTTCTATAACAGAATGTGTTAAACAGACTGAGCCAAATTCGTAATGCATACACCAGTTCTGATTATAACTGACTTTGCTTGCAGCATCATGATTTTTTTAATATGTAAAAGAATGTACGTGATGTACAGAAAAAAGGGGTAACTGTGAATATTTAAAATACTTTAATTAAAATCAAAGTTTTAATTTTGTCTGTATTATTAAGAAATAAAAAATAACAGATCAACAGCTGCATTTGCTGTAGTTACCATAAACCACAACACAAAACTTGTTTTCACAATTTAGAATCATCATAAAACTGTGCCTTTTAAATTAAAATATTGTCAGCTCTTATTCATCATCCTTTATACAAAAATGTCTGAAAGCATGACTAAAAAATAAATTGAACCCATTTATTACTCAAAAATAATCAGGCCAATAGCATTACAAGCTTTGATCAAGACATGCTAAATTAGAATAAAAATTTTAAAATTGTGATTACAAAACAATCTGGTACTAGTTATTTTTGGCAGAAAAAACTAAACAGGATATGTATAAAGATCTCCACATGTTACTTTAGAAGGATAGAAATGGCAGAAAAATACTGAGGTCAAAAGCAATGGTAAGAAAATGAGTTTATTGCCAAATTGTAAAAGTGTGCTGAGATGCTCCACATTCACAATGGCACACTCACTTTTTCACAGAATAACAAAATTTATTGAGACAATTTACTTGAAAAAAAATGTGTGTTGTAAAAATATATATGTACTGCAATTTTACATTCTTAACTAGTTATAAGACACTTTATAATGTACTAAAGGACCTGTATCCATGACTAAAAGCATGCATATTCCACACCCCAAGGTATTCCATTACCATATATCACAGATTAAAATAAAGACAAAAAATTATCCCCTTGTCATTTCCAAGTTTATGGATGTTCTTAGAACCTAAATTTGTCTACGGACAGGCAGGTTTGCATGTGTATGGGGTGTCAAAGTACATGTAACCAACAGCACATTATTTTCATACACTTTTCACCAGTGTTGGTAGGGCAGGGAGGAGGAGATGGGGAGGAAAGTTAGTACTTATTTTATACACTTTTCAGTTTTAAACATTAAAAATAAAACAAGGCAAATATTAAGGGCCAGACTTTCAGAAGAAGTCAGCTGTCACTCAGACACCAGATTTTCAAGTTTCTGAGCAAAACATTTTGGGTACATGCTTATAATTAAAAACATGCTGAAACTGCTTTGCTGAATAGAGATAGGATTGTGTCCATGATAATGTGCTTTGCTGAATGGATGCCCAAAAGAATTGGAGGTGAGCTTTTTAAAAATGTTGGACCATACTTAAGTCCTCAATAGGGTTGTTTTGTGATTTTATTCCTGCTTTATTCAAACATGGTGATTGTTTAATGTGTTGCTAAGTTTCCCAGCAACAATGAATACAAGAAGTCAAATAACATCAAATATTGATTGATGATGAAAATCAGAAAAAAGTAAAAGGTATTACCAACCTGAGGCATTCACAAATCATGAAATAGCCCCCAAAAATCACAAACATAATTTAAAGATCATTAAATTTAAAAAAAAATACATTTAGAGATATTTGTTTTCTGGTATTTAGGAGCACCTGGGTCATACGTCCCAACTTCTCTCTGAAATTATAAGAGCGGAAACTTCCTTTTTAAAAATATAAACTAGATTATCACACAGTTATTTGATTCTAGGAACTGGTGTTCAAACACTAAGTATAATGAAACTTATGGTAAAGTTTTAAGAGTTGGCAACACTACTTAAAACACTTGTAGTCTACACCACATTTCAGAGTGCTTTATATGCACAACTGGCCATTTAAAAGTATTTTTTTTTAAATGGACTTAATCCATTTTAACTTTCCCACAGCCTTGTCTGCTATTTAAACTCTCAAAAGGTGCCCATTCTCACTTTATACCACGGCAGGACATTTTGTTGTCCAGCTGGTAGCCTACAGGCTGCATGCAACCCACAAGGGGTTAAACATGTGGCTCCCAGACTTCCACCAGCTACTGCTGCCGTTATCACTCTGGCTGCAGCAGCAGCAAGGATCTCAGGGATCCCCCTTCCCTCCTCCAGCTTTTGCTGCATGCTCTCAACCCAGGGGTTGAGCTAGAGGGCAGGCCTATAGCGCCAGGGAAGCTGGAGACCTGGAATACCTATCCGTGTGGCACGGTGCACTGGCAAAGCCTGTGGCCAGACAACTGAAGGAGAGGCAAGATACATAGTGGGTACATCTACATGTGCGTATTAATGCACAACAATAAACTGCGCCACAGTTTATTGCTCCCAGGCACCACATTTACACATGCATGTGGAACCACATGTTTCATATCTTTCATAGACATTAGAGCTGGAAGGGACCTCTCAAGATCCAGCCCCCTACCCATGGGGCAGGAAGTCAGCTGGGATCAGATCACCCCAGCAAGATAAGCATCCAAATGTTTCTTAAAAGGTATCCAGAGTAGGTGCTTGCACCACTTCTAGGGGAAATCTATTCCAGACTCTGGAGACTCAGGCGGTAAAGAAGTTTTTCC